CGCCGATCTTTCCTCAGGGAGAGGGGCAGGGCAGCCATCGTACGGTCAGGCTGCTTGAAGAAGGCACGCAGAACGAGGGACGGCGCTCCTCCCCGGCATCCAAAGAGCCCGGGTGCACGAGGAGGGCCAGAGCAAAACGCACGGCACGAGCCGAGGAACCGCGCACCCCTTCCGAACTCAAAATAAGCCTTACTTCCGCGCCTCGAAGGCACTTGGCCGAGCCAGACTGCTCGTGTCCCTCCTCGCGGCGGCCGTCCCTCTGCTGCGGGGCCCGCGCAAGACCCCGAGCTCCGACGCCACGCCTCCGTCGAAACGTGGACCCCCAGAGGGCTCGGACCCTTCCCCGGGGACGGGCTTTTGCACCCCGCGTCGTCTGTGTGTGGGAGGTCCCGAGGCCGGGTGGAGGCCCCGAAGGGCAGACCACAGCGAAACACCTCCCATGCCCAGCGTGATTGGTTCAGGACTCGAGGGGCCTTGGGGAGGAGGACGGATGTGGCCACGGAGGGCAGAACATAGCGAAGCACCTTCCATGCCCATCGTGATTGGTTCACGACTCGAGAGGACTTGGGGAGGAGGACGGATGTGGCCACGGAGGGCAGAACATAGCGAAGCACCTTCCATGCCCAGCGTGATTGGTTCATGGCTCGAGAGGCCTTGGGGAGGAGGACGGATGTGGCCCCGAAGGGCAGAACACAGCGAAACACCTTCCATGCCCAGCGTGATTGGTTCATGGCTCGAGAGGACTTGGGGGGGAGGACGGATGTGGCCCCGAAGGGCAGAACATAGCGAAGCACCTTCCATGCCCATCGTGATTGGCTCATGGCTCGAGAGGACATGGGGGGGAGGACGGATGTGGCCACGAAGGGCAGAACATAGCGAAACACCTTCCATGCCCAGCGTGATTGGTTCATGACTCGAGGGGACTTGGGGAGGAGGACGGATGTGGCCCCGAAGGGCAGAACACAGCGAAACACCTTCCATGCCCAGCGTGATTGGTTCATGGCTCGAGAGGACTTGGGGGGGAGGACGGATGTGGCCACGAAGGGCAGAACACATCGAAACACCTTCCATGCCCATCGTGATTGGTTCATGACTCGAGAGGACTTGGGGAGGAGGACGGATGTGGCCACGAAGGGCAGAGCATAGTGAAACACCTTCCATGCCCATCGTGATTGGTTTATGGCTCGAGGGGTCTTGGGGAGGAGGACGGATGTGGCCAAGTGTTAAGTCGGGCATGTCCCCCTTCAACTGGGCTTGGGATGAACAAGAAACAATAGTCAGAAAAACGCAAAAACAAAAGTATTCAAACATCGTCCCAAAAGTAGTGTCGGTTATTGTTTGAATAATTCTCCTGTGAAGAGACACGCCTGACGTAAGCCAAGTGGGCTGCCACGCGCTCGGCGCCTCGCGCGGGGCACAGCGGGACCCGGCCGCCTCTGCCCGGCCAGGATATCTACACTCGCCCTGCGGCAGCGAGGGCCGGCCCCGCGGACAGCCACATCGCCGAACCCCAGGGCGAAGGCAGCCCCGCATCTCGCTTCAAAACAGGAGGGGGTCTCAACCCTCCCAGACGGGCCATTTGAGACCCCCCCCCCCAAGATCAGCCATGAGAGGGCGGCCTTGTGCTCAGACCCCCCCCCTGGAAGCCTCCAAGACAGCTCAACTCAGGCCCCCCGAATCGGAACCCCTCGTTTCGGCGGCGCGCAGAAGGGGAGAGAGGGGAGGGGGGACAGGAATCTTAGAAGGATGCTGCTTCTCAGAGGGAACCGGCCTTACATCTGCAGAGAAGACCTGCACCTTCTAGAGAACAGGGGTGCTTCTATAGAGGCCACGTAGATGGGGTCGGAGAAAATGGGGTCGGGGGATCGCGCCACATCGCCGATACATCGGCGATGCGTCGGCGATGTATCGGCGATGCGTCGTCGACGTGGGCGATGCATCGGCGACGTCGACGTAAAGGAACTCGGGCTCCAAATCGAGCCCCATTGGCGATGCTGCGCGAGACCCCATCCGCTCCGACCCCATTTATGAAGCCTAGATTATCAAAACGCTTCCCCCTCCCCCCCTAATTTTCGGTCGGGCATGTCCTCCCAAAGGCGGATGTTGGAAGGAACAACTAAAATAGTCAAATAAATATGCAAACACATGCGCCACAATATTCCGTGTGTTAGAAGAGCCGTTCCCAGACTATGTTTTACAATGTCTGAATGCTCCCCCTGTAGTTCGGCACTTTTATGGGGGCGCTCGAGAGTCTTCCTGCCCGCGAAACATCACATGATTTGCTACGTCTTTGCCTCCGACTTGCGGCTTGCATATCGGAGGGACGAACAGCGGCCGACGCGCCACTCGCCAGCAGGCCATGCTTCAGCGGAGGACAGAGTCTTCCTGGCGATCGAGGCGAAAGCAGGCTGGAGCATCATCGTGGTGGGAGGTCCATCAATCTCCCACCGTGGCCTGCCGAGAAGGCCCGCCCACCCTCACTCGGGAGCGGCCAAGAGGGGGGTGTCCAAGAGGGGGGGGTGCAAATCATGACCGGCGGCATGTGCGCGGCTCAGCGGGGGGGCCAGGGACGCAATGAAATAAGAAGAGGCGTCATGAAATCTGGGGAACTATCATGACCCCCGCCATGATATCCCCCCCCCTAGTCATCACCCCCCTCTTTTCCGCCCCCGATATCGTTGCCCCCGAGGGGGGGGGGGCGGGCGCTCCAGGCCTACCGGTGGAGGTCGGAGTGCAGCCCCCCGATGCCCCCGCAGCCACCTCCCCCTAGTCATCACCCCCCTCTTTTCCGCCCCCGACTCACCTTCCCCCCCCCCCCCCCCCGGGGCGGGGGCGCGCCGCCGACCGGGGAACCCCATGGGCGGCGGGGCCCCAGAACGGCGGCCCAGCCAGGGAGCAGCGCTGCGAACGGGGTGCAGAGGGGTCCGCAGCAGCAGGAGCACGGGAGAGAGGAGCAGTGGGGGAGAAGCTCCCTGGCTTCGTCAGATCTTCGGCGCCTTCCAAAGCCTCCACCTCTAGGAGGAGGAGGAGGAGGAGGCGGAGGAGGAGGCGGAGGAGGAGGCGGAGGAGGCGGAGGAGGCGGAGGAGGAGAAGGAGGAGGAGGCGGAGGAGGAGGAGGGTCAGCAGCAGCAGGAGCACACGAGAGAGGAGCAAGGGGATAATCTCTCTGGCTTCGTCAGAGTTTCGGCCCCTTCAACAGCCTCCACCTCTAAGAGGAGGAGGAGGAGGCGGAGGAGGAGGAGGAGGAGGCGGAGGAGGAGGGTCAGCAGCAGCAGGAGCACACGAGAGAGGAGCCATGGGGAGAAGCTCCCTGGCTTCGTCAGAGCTTCGGCCCCTTTCAGGAGCCTCCACCTCGTCACCGCTGCCGTGCCCTCCCCGTCTCGGCGGGGGCAGGCCGTCCTTTCCAGTTGGCGCCGCCGCGCTTCGGCATGGGGGCCTGGCGCGGGGCGCAGCCCGTGCCGTCGCGGGCGCGGCGGCGTGCGCGGCACGCGCGCGGCGGCTGGAGACCACCCCGGAACTGCAGGAACGCGAGCAGTCGGGGCCTTGACCTAAGGAGCCCAAAATAAGGAACGAGGCCCCTTTTTTCCATGAGGAAAACCTGAGGCAAGCTGCGAAACACTGAAGGAACGCGGAGCCCCTCCCCAACGAAAAGGGTTCCTTCTTCAGGGACCCGACTGTAGCACTCGGGGCCCCACGACGGCTTGGTGACGGACCGTGCGGTGACCTTGAAATCCCAGAGGACCCACCGCACGGTCGGTGGCCACACGGTTTGGAGATCTTGGAGGCCCCAATCGCCCGAGACATCCCAAGGTAACGATCCAACCCCGAGAACCGTGCGGTGGAACCGAGTCCCCACTGACTCACCACTCGGTGTAGTCATCGCACCGCTTTGGGGTCACAACTCCTTCCAATCTCGCTCTGGATCCGACAATATTCGCATGCGCAATCACAATCAGAATTCAGCCTCCTCCTCCCACTCCCTCCTACCCTTCATATTGGCTCCTCCCTCGTCCACCTCCTCCTCTTCCTCCTCCTTCCCCTCCTCCTCGTGCCAAATGAACACGAACACAAACAGAAGATGACGAAATGATCGTCCAAGAGCCACAAGCATATAAACACCGTCCAGCGTGGAAGTCTGAGGAGGGTGAGGTAGGAGAGTGAGATGGGGGTGCACAGGAGGGGCCCGAGAGGGGGAGGGGAATGGGGAGGGGCAGTTCGGGGGGAGGGGGGGGGGGAGAAAGAGGGAACGGCATGGGGTCAGAGCGAAACCGAGACGGAGCATCGTGCAACCGACCCTTATGGTCATGGGCGTGGCCAAGGCCCCACTGGCCGCCTACCCCCCTGGATGGGGATGTGAGCAGTTGGCTTCGGGCTCCGAGGGGCACATCCCCAGCTGGGGTGGTGAAGCAGTGGGGGTCTAGATGGGTGAAGGGGCCCACAAACACACAAATCAATACACACAAATATGATTACTCCCCATATTTTCCTATATTTTCTGGTTTTTTGTCTTCCCCCCCACTTCCCATATTTTCCCACATTTTCTGGGGAATCGACGATTAATTGTGTCTGTGTGTTTTTTCCCCTCCTGAATTGGATAAGGGACAAAGATCGGTGAGACGATCCGGCGAGACGGAAGCCCGTGCAGACATGCGGGGGATCAGAGGCACGAGGCGGAGCGGAGGAGCGGGGGGGTGCAGAGGGGCAGAGGGATGGGGAGGAGGAGGGACACCGAGAATAGGGGGCAAACAAACCTACCTCGCTTTTGACCACCCTCGCTTCAAAGAGATACCACGCGATGACAAACTACGGCCTGTACTGGTCAGGCCGCTTGACGAGGAGGCGCGTGGTATGACTTGGTTTTGCCTGGAAGCGAAAGCGGGGTAGGTAATTCACGCTCTGAGAGAATACTTTCCCCGTCCTCGATGCGGCAGCGGAGGGGCAGGCAGCGAGAGAGGACCCGCAACCCGGGGCTGGGGCTATGGGCAGTGCCGCGCCCTCCGCGCGACGGTGCGGCTGGGCACCGGGGCGCGCCTGGCCCATGTTCTGGGGCGTGCCCATGCCCTGCTGCATGGCCTGGAGGAGCAGCAGTGGAAGGCAAGCCGGCACAGGCAGGAACTTCGGGCGATCCGCGCGGAGCGCCAAAAGCTTATTCGGGGGTGGACAGACCCCCCTTTAGTAAAACGTGGTTTAGTGAAAACGACCTGAGGCCCAAACCTGGCGGGCGCAAGCCTGGAAAATAACGGCCACGGCGCCCTCTCGAGAACCGAAAACGGACAATTCACGAATCGACGTGTCACTGTTGGGGGTTCTGTCCACCCCCGACTTGTGTGTTATCCAGTCGCTTCCTCTTCGAAGGTCTCTGCGCAGAGCTCTTGGGTGGGCGCTGGGCCCCGCCCTCCTGGCGCGCAGCGCGCGGCGCGCGGCGCGCGCCAGGGGCGGCGGCGCCGAGGCGACGCCTCCTCCCCCTCCTCCTCCTCCTCCTCCTCCTCCTCCTTCTCCTCCTCCTCCTCCTTCTCCTCCTCCTCCTCCTCCTCCTCCTCCTATTCCTCCTCCTCCTCGTCGACCTCCTCGACCTCAATCCCCCTCGACCTCCTCCTCCTCCTCCGCCTCCTCGACCGCCTCCTCCCCCTCGAGCCTCCTCGCGGCGGCGCCAGGGGGGGGGCCCAGGCGCCAACCCGAGGAGCCCGCGCGGAGAGCTCGGAGGTCGATCGTGTGTCTCTGTGCGGTGCACGCCGGTCGGAAGAAGCAGGCGAGAGCATGAAGTGGGAGGGCGGATCGAGCAGGCTGGGCTCGGGCCCTCCCAGAGGCCTCCCAAGACACGGCAAAAGCAGATGCAGATCGGTTCTTGAAGTGGGGGGGCGGATCGAGTAGGCTGGGCTCGGGCCCTCCCAGATAATGACAAGACACGGCAGAAGCAGATGCGGATCGGTTCTTGAGGTGGGGGGGCGCTTGACGTAGATTCGGATCTGGGAAGCTGCATTTGGTTGTTCTCCGAGGGCCTGCGGAGACATCATGCCGCCCATGCCGCCGGGGGCCTGGCCCATGTTCTGGGGCGAGCCCATGCCGTCCATGCCAGGGCCTGCCACGCGGGGGTGGCGAGGAGGGGCGGGGGGTGGGGGAGGTGGAGGTGGACGTGCAGAGCGTGTCGCCCGACTCCGTGGCCGCCGCGTGACCTCCTCCGACTCCAGGGGCCGCCCCCCTCCGAGGCCTCCTGCTGGTCCGCCTCCTCCTCCTCCTCCTCCTCCTCCTCTTCCTCCGCCTCCGCCTCCGCCCCTCCTCCTCCTCCACCTCCTCCTCCTCATCCTCCTCCTCCTCCGCCTCCTCCACCTTCTCCCTCGTCTCCTCCTCCTCCTCCTCCTCCTCCTCCTCCTCCTCTTCCTCCTCCTCCTCCTCCTCCTCCTCCTCCTCCCCCCCTTCTTCTCCCCCTCCTCCTCCTCATCATCATCATCAGCAGCAGCAGCATCATCAGCATCATTATCAGCAGCATCAGCATCAGCATCAGCATCAGCATCAGCATCAGCACCAGCATCAGCATCAGCAGCTCACCATCATCATCAACATCAACATCAGCATCATCATCATCCTCACCATCATCATCATCATCATCATCATCATCATCATCATCATCATCATCATCATCAGCATCAGCATCATCATCATCATCATCATCATCATCATCAGCATCAGCATCATCACCATCACCATCACCATCACCATCACCATCACCATCATCATCATCATCATCATCATCATCATCATCATCATCATCAGCATCGTCGTCATGATCAGCATCATCATCAGCATCAGCATCAGCATCATCATCATCCTTCTTCTTTTCCTTCCCCCTCCTCCACTTTCTCCCATGCCTCCTCCTCCTCCTCCTCCCCCATTTTCTCAAACTCGTCCTCCTTCTCCTCCTCCTCCTCCTCCTCCTCCTCCTCCTACTCCCCTTCCTCCTCCTCCTCCTCCTCCTCCTCCTCCTCCTCCTCCTCCTCCTCCTCCTCCTTCTCTGAGAGGGAGCGATCAGGGGGAAGACACCGATCTAGATTCGGCGATACATCGCCGATAGATTGGCGATAAGCCCCCGATATCAATCCGCTCTTCCCTGGGCGGGTTTCGGCGGCGAGCGAGGAGCGGAAGTGAGAAGGGGCAGACCTTCTCAAAGGCTCGGAAGTCCCCCGGTCTTCTGTTTCCGAAGCCTTCACCGGAGACACACTGAACGTTTCAGAATGCGCGAAGGCTTCTAAGAAGTCCTGCCGCCTTCGGTATAAGGCAAATAAATCAGCCTCTGAGGAATGCTGGAACTGAATCGGATCGGGCCCGCGGGAGTCGAGATCGAATCGGATCGATTGGATCGAACAGGACACTGCCAGGATGGGGCCCAATCGACCGTCAGGGGGACCTGAGCGCTGCGGACCACGCCGCTGCTGCTGGCGAGGCCTCCTGCCAGATGCGCGCCCCGCAGGGCTGCTTATCAGTGGGGCCCCACTTGGCTTCGTGATTAGCTGCCCATGTTGGACATATATTGGTAACCCTCTGTCTCCACCTTTTCATCAAGAGCTACGTTTGCATCGCAGAGCGGGATGGGGACTGGAATTTGCCATGCCACTCCTTGACATAAGTCTTACCCCAATGCGTGGGCGCCGCGATCGCCGCGGTGACCTCCAAAATGGCCGGGAGGTCTGGTTCGAGGTCGGCTATCAATCAGCGACCACTGTTTGAAAGGATATCTGAACGGCCAGTCTCCCTGTTCGCTCAGCACTCAACGCTTTCTGCTATCCCTCGCCTCGCACTGCAGCTTCCAGGATTATCTCCAGACTTCGATCGATGCCTCCAGAATCACGTCGACCAACCTAGATGTACCTCAACGTATGTCGATATACCGAGGCTTATCGAATTACCTACTCATGTCGATAGGGCAAGAGGCCCTAATCCTCAGGGACCCACTGTCAAATGCACAGGTCTGACTCGGCCTCGTGACAGTGGGGCTCTGCTGTCAGCAGGATGCTGCTCGGCGGCGCGGATGCCAAACCTAACTGCTGCCAGAAAGGCCTGATGTCGGCAAGCCTGGCCTGGAAAGGGAGGGGGCGCGCACGTCTGACAGCGGGGTCACACTGTCCACACACACAGATTGTTGCACTCAGCAGGGCAGAAAGCAGCATCAACATAGACCTTGGAGGTCCGCGCCATATCCCTGGCCCGGACCGACCTAGACATCAACATAGACCGACCATATCCTTGGAGCATCCACATAGACCTTGGATCGGCCCTGGACCCCACATCCCCTGGCGCGCGGAGCGCATCAGGGGCGGCGCTGGAGGCGCCTCCAGGGGTCGCCGGCCCAGGAGAGGCGTGCGGACCTGCGGAACTCGGTGTTTCTGCATTTTTTGTTGTCCTTCGACAGCTGTCAAATGCGCAGAGGGGGAACTGCTGTCGTGGAGGGCAGCTACCGCCTGCCATCTGATGGTGGAGCTCGTACGTCAAGGAATCCACATCACGACGTGCGCAAAAATGCGTATGACAATCGGGCACCCCTGTCAACCCGGGCCTGCTCCTCCTCCGCCTGCTCCCCTTTCCTCCTCCTCCTCCTCCTCCTCCTCCTCCTTCTCCTCCTCATCGCCCCCCTCCCTCCTTCTCCTTTTCCGCGTCCTGCGACTCCTCCTCCAATTCCTCCTCCTCGCCCCCCTCCCTCCTCCTCCTCTCCTGCGTCCTGCGACTACTCCTCTCCCTCCTCCTCCTCCCCCTCCTCCTCCTCCTCCTCCTCCTCCTCCTCCTCCTCCTCCTCCTCCTCCTCCTCCTCCCTCCTCCTCCTCCTCCTCCTCCTCCTCCTCCTCCTCCTCCTCCTCCCCCTCCCCCTCCCACTCCTCCTCTCCTCCTCCTCCTCCTCCTCCTCCTCCTCCTCCCTCCTCTCCTCCTCCTCCTCCTCCTCTCCTCCTCCCTCCTCCTCCTCCTCCCTCCTCCTCCTCCTCCTCCTCTTCCTCCTCTCTCTCCTCCTCCTCCCTCCTCCTCCTCCTCCTCCTCCCTCACGCTGGGGCCCACCGCTGGGGGCCCACCGGGAAGGCCCTCGAGGTCCCAGGCACCACGCGCGGACCTCCCGAGGCCCCGAGCCCTCAGAAGGCCCCAGAGGGAAGCCGGGCGTGCCCCCCTGCAGGGGGGCCTTCGACGAAGCATAAAAGATACTCAACACATATTTCCAAATGGTCGAAGGATGCTCAAAAAATAGTCCCCATACTATTTGTTGACTATCCTCAAATATTCCCCCTGTAGAGAGAGGGACAGGCCGGACTCAACCCTGGAAACAGCAGCGCCGTTTTGCTCACCGGTTCCGTTTCGCCGTTCTTGTTCGCCGGCTCCGACGTCGTCTCTTCACCGGCTCCGCCGCTGCGCTGTTTCTGTTACCGGCTCCGGCTCCAACCCCTGAGCCGCTCTCTTGCCCGTCCCGGTCGCCGCTTTTTTGCCGTTCCCCTTTTCAAGAGGCGCTGTTTCGGGCACGGCGAAAGAACGGCCCTGCCGTTTCCGGGGCCCACTATGGGGGATGGACAGACCCCCCTTTAGTAAAACGTGGTTTAGTGAAAACGACCTGAGGCCCAAACCTGGCGGGCGCAAGCCTGGAAAATAACGGCCACGGCGCCCTCTCGAAAACCGAAAACGGACAATTCACTAATCGACGTGTCACTGTTGGGGGTTCTGTCCACCCCCGACACTACGCCCGAGCCTCGGTTTCGGTGAGGCCCCCAAAAAGGCCAACCCTCTCTGCAAGTCGACCCCTGGGGGCCTCGCGTGCTCCGGGGGCTCCTCTCCGCGCCTCCGGGCTTTTCGCAGGAGAGCATCCCCGTCTGTAGAGGGAAAGCCCCACCAGGGATTTTTCAGCAGGCTCGCCACAAGCTCCCCCCCCCCTGACGATTCGTCGAAATCCTGTGCTCGGCACTGGGAAATGGGATGCTTGCCCCTCAGGATGCGGTCGACGTGCTCTCTGGCCAATCTCCGCTTTGCGCTTGATTGCCCTCCAACGGCAAGTATCTAGGCGCTTTGGCCCTGTGGGTGAACGGGACGTTGCTTCCGCGCAGCGCATAGAAAATCGTGGAGTCCATTTGGTCACCCTGCGAAACACAACATTCAACAACTTGGTTTTGGTGCCAACGCAAACTCCAAGGTTCAAACACATGTTCATCCTCCTGTGTCTCCACGACAGGCGCAGGCGAAGCCTCCGATATCGGGCGGGCGGGCCGATCTCTGTGATACCCTCTCCACGTTGATTCCAGCGTAATCTAACTTTGCGAGGGGGTTTGTAACGCCGCATCCTGCTCTCGTAAAGTTATATCGGGTTAACTGGTTAACTCATATTCCTCCTCATCGCATAACTCTGGGTAGGTTTACACGATGGCGATGGCCGACATGTGCACCGCTGGGTCAGTTGAGCCAAACGGCGTCTTGCTCACCCAGTCACAACGTCATGTTGTAACACTCCTCCCTCGTTCCACCTCCCTCCTTCCCCCCCCCCGACAATCCTGATTAGCCATGTGGGCGGCCGCCCGAGTCACGGACGAACGCCGCAACGGCCTGCGGCTGACGCCGCGGCAACCTCCGGAGACCTCGCCGATCTCCCAGAAGCCGCAGAACTCCTCCTCCTTCCCTCCTCCCCCCTCCCTTTCCTCCTCCTCCTCCTCCTCCTCCTCCTCCTCCTCATCCTCCTCCTCCCCCTCCTCCTCCTTCCCCTCCTTCCCCTCCTTCCCTTCCTTCCCCTCCTTCCCCACCTTCCTCTCCTTCCCCTCCTCCTTCTCGGCCCTCCTCCTCCTCCTCCTCCTCCTCCTCGGCCCTCCTCCTCATCCTCCTCCTCGGCCCTCCTCCCGGTCGTGCAGCCCACGCCGGGCTCAGCGCGCCTTGGCAGCCGCCCTTGCCGCCGTGGCAGCCGCCCATGCCGCCCGCCTGGGAGGGCCTCCGGCTGGGGCCTGGGCGCGCGCTGACGGGCCGGCCCACGCAGGGGAGGGGATCGGTGCGGGGGGCGGGAAGCCAAGTCCTCCTCCTCCTCCGGCTGATGCTCTTCTCCCTCCCTTCTCAATTCCCTCCCTTGTCCTCCTCTCCTCCTCCTCCGCCTCCTCCTCCTCCTCCTCTTCTTCTTCTTCTTCTGATTCGTTCTCCTTCTTCCTCCTCCTCCTGGGGCAGAGTCTTCTGACCTGCCGGCAGAGTCCTTCTGGAGCCAAGCGTCTGCCTACGCTTGGCCACCCCAGCCGCACAGCCAGCTTCTGGCCCTGCCCCCTCGCCCTGCCCTCGCCCTCGATGCCGTGCCCACACCCTGCCCTGCCCCTCGGGACGGGCTCGTCCCTCCACAGGAGGAACGTTCAAAGTTAGTAGAAACGTGATCTGGGGACGATTTCCCCCTTTTCACAAGACTCAAGTGTGTGTGTATATGTATGTGTGAGCATGTCTGGACTGTTCTTTGTTGCTCTTCGGAAATCAACCTGTAGAAAAGACAGGCCCGACCTGACCCTGCCTTCGCCCGGCCGCAGCCGCCGCCCTAACCCCCGCCCTCGCACCTCGCCCGCCCGCGGCCGCGGCCGCACGGGGCGCCGGCGCCTCCCAGGTCCGAATGCTGGCTCAGCGGCACGCCCCAGCCGGCGTTGGAGTGCTGGAAGTCCGCCTGCTCCATGGCCTGCGGCGCCGCCGCAGCGGCGCCGCCGCAGCGGGGCCAGCAGCACGGCGGCGATGCCCTCCCACGACGACAAGACCACGGCGACGGCGACGACGACGACGACGACGATGACGACGACGACGACCACGACGACGACGACGGCGACGACGACGACGACGACAGCGACGACGACGACGGAGCCGAGCCGAGCCGATGCTAATGTTAGTTTTTGCTTGGGTGTTGCGCTGCTGCTGCTGGGGCTTCGGCGGAGGACAGACCTCCCTCTAGTAGACCTCCCTCTAGTGAACACGACCCAGGACCGACACCGACGGACCTGGACCCGCAAAAACAGCGGCCGCGACGCTCTCAGGCGAACCGAAAACGGCCAATTCACGAATCGACGCGTCAGGGTAGGAGGTCTATCAGCCTCCGGCCCCGGAAGCGCTTCGCTGGGATGGTTCGGCTGGAGGCTCAGCAGGAGGACCACGGAAGAGTCCTACAAAGCGGGGGGCGGGGAGCACGAGGACACCTGGCTCTCCCCCTCCGCTCTGGCAGCCGTCTCGCCCGAGACTTCATCTCACAGGTCACGCAGGAAGCGTGCTCTCGCCTCCATTCTGACTGCAGGTTGGGTCCATTCGGTGGACAGTCCTCCCTTTAGTAAACCTGGACCCACAAACGTGACGGCCGCGACGCCCTCTCGCGAACCGAAAACGGCCAATTCCTTAATCGACGTGTCGGAGTAGGAGGTCTGTCCACCCTCGACCTGTAGCACGCGTCACGTGCACAAACGTGCACACGGCCGTGCTCTCATCCCTGTCCAGGATGCATCCTTGTTGGGAATCCCTCGAAATGCCTAGGAATGCACGCTCTCACTCGCCGACCCCCTACTCCTCGACCCGCCTCTTCACCTTTGCTGCTAGTAGGTCGCTCTGCTGGGGTAGTTCTGCTGCGCGCGCGCAATCATCAAGAAGGCAACGATTTGTTGGGGAACGTGGCGGTACATGACCGACGCCTTGCCGCTTCCACTGCAGGGCAGGGAGATGGAGGGAGGTGAGTAAGCAAGATCGAAGAGCAGCAATACAGGATCTGAGAGGCGAGAGAAGAAAAGGAGATTAGGAGAAGAAGACAATAATTAAGAATTAGGAGAGGGAGCGGATAATAACATAGACACACACATATATATATACATACATACATAGATGTGTGTGTATGTGTGTGTTCATCCATCAGCTGGACTGGAACTTGAAGCGACTGAACACGATCAAAGCATGGAACCCTTCTCTGATGATAGACACGAAGCACTTCGTGCCTTCAGCACTCTCGTCGAAGACCCGACGCATGGTCGAACGCGTGAACTGACATGAACCAACGAACATGTCCTCAGGGCATGCGGACCAGGACCGCCGGCGCTTTCCCCATGCCGAGCTTTCCATCTTGAGCACTGCCCTGGCGGGGAAGGCGTATGCACCGGAGCTGGGCCTTGAGGCCTCGCCAACTATGGCTGTTCTGCATGGCTGCCGCCCTCTGACTGACAGCGGCATGTGGGCCCCACCGCCGCCGTGGGAAGGGGTAGACTTTGAAGTAACGGGCGACAACCGATAAAACTGAAGGCGCCCTGGGACACACACACACACACATAAATGCACACAAATAAAAGGATTCCCTATGTTTCCCATATTTTCCCCCCACTTCCCATTTTTTCCAATATTTTCCTATATTTTCCTGGGAGTGGACGATTAATTGTGTCTGTGTGTTTTCTCCCCTCCTGAATAACCTATTGGTGTTCGCTGTCGGGGGTGCCTGCCCGAGGGCGGCTGGAAAGTTTCTACCCTTACGGCGGCACGTCAGGGTGTAAACCTTCCAGCCGCCCTGGGGCAGGCGCCCCCAGCAGGGAAAGAATTTGTTTGTATACCGTTCTTCGCCCGCGAATCGAAGGTTGTCCTGCGGCAAAGCGAACCCTGCGAGGGGATCTGATTCCACGGTGTCGTCTGGACCCCATGCGATTGCAGAGCCGAGCTGGGCAGAGCCATGACAGAGGGGCGAGAGATGTCCGTCCAACAAAGCAGAAACAACGGGGCAAGGAGGTGCAGTCCCAATACTGCCACGAGAACTTGGATGAAACAGACTAGCTCCTTCACCGAAGGCCCAATACCTCATGGAGATAACAGGGCGTAAGACAAATCAAGGTTGAGAGCGCAAACATGAACAACGTAATGGTACCCCTCCAAAGCTAGGGTTACTCTGAACATTCTTGCCAGCTGCAAGGTCATCACCGAGGGAAAGAACGAGGCGGTGTGGAGCCTCGAAGCTCATCCTCCCGCTGAGAGAGGACGAGGTGGTCATGCTCAGCCCCATGCCGCCTGCGCGGACGCCCACGCTCCGCTCTGCAGGACGGGAGTCACCTCAGGACTAGCTCGGCTCAGGATACGCTCCAGGACTTCCAGAGCATCTAGCTAGAACAATTCGCCGGCTCAACGGGCCAGAGGCGTGCTAAGATCCCCGGTAACTGGTTAAGAATATTTCTAGTTCGCGCGCGCGGAGCGGCCCCTAGGGCCCCTGGACGAAAAGTACCCGGCAAGGTCCCGGGAGAAGCCACCAGAGCACTCCAGGGGAGGGCCATTTTTCCCCACATGTTTCGTGGGGTTATGGTTTTCTTCCCTGCCGCGGCGCACCCGCGTCTCCTCACCTCCCCTCCTCCATCTTCTTCCTCTCCTCACTCGCGCTCAACACATGCACGGCAAGTACATGACACACGCGTCTACATACAGCCGCACGTATGCACACATTCGCACACAACACACACACCATACAACGCTAATGCGCGCCTGGCGTGTTCACTGCATCACACATCCACGACGTGTGCACCACATAGTGGGCACCCACATGAGACACGTGCCGATATGGCCGCTATGCACGACGGTCGTCCAGGCATAGCAGGCGTGGCACTTCCTCGACACCAGAGGGGGTGCGCTGGGGGTGGGGGCTCTATCCGTTTCGGACTCGCAATGCGTGGCAGGCGTGGCACTTCCTAGACACCAGAGGGGGTGCGCTGGGGGTGGGGGCCCTATGCGCTGCAGGCTCGCAGGGCGTGGCATGCGTGGCATTTCCTGGGCGCCACAGGGGGTGCGCTGGGGGTGGGGGCCCTATGCGCTGCAGGCTCCCAGGGCGTGGCAGGCGTGGCAGTTCCTAGACGCCACACGGGGTGCGCTGGGGGTGGGGGGCTCCCAGGGCGTGGCAGGCGTGGCATTTCCTCGACGCCACAGGGGGTGCGCTGGGGGTGGGGGCCCTATGCGTTGCAGGCTCCCAGGGCGTGGCAGGCGTGGCATTTCCTCGACGCCACAGGGGGTGCGCTGGGGGTGGGGGCCCTATGCGTTGCAGGCTCCCAGGGCGTGGCAGGCGTGGCATTTCCTCGACGCCACAGGGGGTGCGCTGGGGGTGGGGGCCCTATGCGTTGCAGGCTCCCAGGGCGTGGCAGGCGTGGCATTTCCTCGACGCCACAGGGGGTGCGCTGGGGGTGGGGGCCCTATGCGCTGCAGGCTCCCAGGGCGTGGCAGGCGTGGCATTTCCTCGACGCCACAGGGGGTGCGCTGGGGGTGGGGGCCCTATGCGTTGCAGGCTCCCAGGGCGTGGCAGGCGTGGCATTTCCTCGACGCCACAGGGGGTGCGCTGGGGGTGGGGGCCCTATGCGTTGCAGGCTCCCAGGGCGTGGCAGGCGTGGCATTTCCTCGACGCCACAGGGGGTGCGTGGGGGTGGGGGCCCTATGCGTTGCAGGCTAGGAGGATGTCCTCGACGCCACAGAGGGTAGGGAGGTAGGAGGAGGAGTAGAGGAGGAGGAGGTAGAGGAGGAGGAGGAGGAGGAGGAGGAGGAGGAGGAGGAGGAGGAGGAGGAGGAGGAGGACGGGGAGGAGGAGGAGGAGGAGCAGCGGCAGCAGCAGCAGCAGCAGCTGCAGCAGCAGACGCAGCAGCAGCAGAAGCAGCAGCAGCAGAAGCAGCAGCAGGAGGAGGACACCGAGGAGGAGAAGGAGGAGCAGCAGCAGAAGCATCGATGGTACACATGGGAAACAAAAATAGGTATGTGGGGTTCCTCGGTAGCGTAATTCGATACCCCTCACGAGGATCGTGGCCTCCGAGGGGGGGGGCGCAATCGACTACACCCCCCCTCCCGCCCCAAGAGGCCCCCCAAAGCCCCCCAGGTGGCCATGGGGGCCCCAAGACGCCGCCAAGGAGCCCCAAGAGACTCCCAAGAGGTCCCCAAGAGGCCCCCAAGAGGCCCCAAAAGAGGGCTCCGGGGCCGGCGGCATGAGCGAAGCGATCAAACAATGAACGCCACATGAACGGTTGGCGCTCCGAGCGGATTCCTTGGATCTTCGCTGGACCCCCCCTCACTGGCGTGCGCAGCGCGCCAGGGGCGGCGCCGGAGGCGCCGCCGGGGGGCCCCAGCGCGGATCCAAGAAGCCCGCACGGAGCGCCAAAAGTCGATGTTTCTGGCGTTGTGTCTTCTCCGACTCGCGGCCCTCGTTTCTGCAGACCGTGTGGGGCGCGAGGGGATCCAGGAACTCCTGGAAGCCCTGGGACGTATCACGATTTGGCGGCGCGCACAATGGGGTGGAGGGACGGGGGAGGGCTTCTTAGCAGGAGGCTGCTTCTTAGAAGGCGCCGGCCTTACATCTACGGAGAAGGCCCGCGCCTCCTAAGAAGCAGGGGTGTTTCTAAGAAGCCCTCCCCCCTCCCACCACCCCCCTCTGCTTACGTTGCTCCCATCGTACTGACGGACCACATCCCAGGAAGAATTTCGAGCACCCGAAAGAGTGTGTCGAAAGAGCGTCGAAACAGTGCCGGACGAGTGTCTGCCGGGGCCCGACACGTGACAACCCCCGAGTTTCGGTACCATCCTGGTGCTCGAAGTTCTCTCCGGCGATCAGGGCCTCCAGCAGGCTGGAGCATCACAGCCCTCTGCGCGCGGCTGCACGATCGCCGCGGCCTCCTGCTCCTCTGATCCGCGGGCCTCCACGTCTCCGCCTTTTTCGCTGCCTGCCTCGCTCTGCCGCCCGAGCTCGCAGAAAAAAACACGCCCCGCCGAGGCGCCCCCCCTGGCCCTGGCGACAATTCCCCTTCTTGTTGGGGGGCGGCCCCCTGCAGGACGCGGCCAGGGCGAGGGCAACTCTGGGTGAGGGCAGATCGAGAATCTCTGAGATCCAGCGGCTCCAGAGGATGCATCGGGCGTCGCGGCCTCCTTGGAGCGCTCCAGGTTGCTCCGAGAGCGTTCCGGAACGCTCTGGAACGTTTTTATCCTCGTCCTGGCCCCGTCCGATCCTGGAATCGGCTACATTCAGATGGACCCTGTGCAAGAGTGACCTCTGGTGCGCGACTCAACGGAGGACCCGGGGTGGGCAAACCCCAGGCGCGCACGTCGCTGCTACCAATTCGTGTCCAGCGACGAGGTGACCCCATTTGGCCTGCACCAAAGGTCACTCTGGCGAAAGGTCATTCTTGCGTCGGCGACGAGCGAGGGGGGGAAATGAGAAGGAGAAGGCCTTCTCAGAAGGCGGCGGAACTTCTCATAATCCCTCGCGCCTTCAGAGAAGGTTTCCCTGGCTTCGGGGAAGGCTCGAACAACTTCTCAGAAGGCCGATGGACTTGACTTCTCCCCCTCGCTCGTCACCGATTACGCATAGTCGACTCGACAACCGGGTCAGAACGAACCTGGGGAGGGATCTCCATGCCCCGATGCCGGACGGGCGTGGGCCAGGCGGGAGAGCCGCGATAGTCTCGCAGCTGGTCCTCCGCTGCACTCTGTGGCTCTCCCTCGCTCTGGTGCAGCAGCCTGCCGGGAATCGTGTACCCGTCGGTCGTAAGAAGTGGGTAGAAGCATGAAGCGGGAAGGCGATAAAGTAGATTGGGCTCAGGCTCTCCCAGATAATAAACAAAAAAGGGTAAAAGTAATGCCGATTCTTGAAGTAGGAAGGCGCTGGAAGGAGATTGGGATCTGGGAATCAAGAGGTACCTACTCACAACGACCGTCGTGTATGCCTGGACTGCCTGACATGCTCTGCGCATAGTGTCCCTCGCGTTTCGGGCAGCCTTCACCAATTGGGAAGGAGTGCCCCTGCGCTCTCTGCCAGGTGCTCACCCAGCCTCTCTTCTGCCGCCCCCTACCTCGCACGTCCTCCCCTCCCCTTTACACTCAAGCTGGGCAGCGGTGCTCGAACAGCTGCGCTCGCGCGTCGCGACAAGCTCGGCCTGACATGGCCGCGATGGCGTTGTGGCCGCCCTTTGGAGTCGCGGATGGGCACATGGCAACTTGCGCGAGGCGGGGGGCTCCAGCCATGTCGTACCAGCAACTGCTACTACCTTCATGCGCAGTGTCATATATGGGTAGTTGCTTTTCTCCTGAGAGGGGGGAATGGGGGAGCGAGATGGCCAAGGCTCAGCGCGCAGAAAGCATCTGCGGAGACACCACCACCATGCCTGCCCATGGCCATCCTGGGCCCTAACGGACTGGCTGGCCTCGGCCGGGAGGACGTGCACACCACGCCAGGGCCAAGGGTGGCCTTGGCCAGGCATGGTGGTCGTCCACTCGTCTACGGGTGCTCCTCCCCGCTGCCCCTCCATCCTCCCCATTCCTCCTCCTCGGTGACTCGGTGATGCGGACCGTTCTGATCATGAAGGGCTGGAGCCCGCGACCCCGCGCCTGGCCAACGCCAGGTGTGTGTGTGGGGGGGGGATAAGGAAAAACCAAGAGGTAAGATAGAAAAAGAAGGGGACGGGCACGTAGATGATAACCTCGCCTCGCCCCAAAGGCTCCTCCTCCTCCTCCTCCTCCTCTTCCTCCTCCTCCTCCTCCTCCCACTCTTCCTCCTCCTCCTCCTCGTCCTCCTCACCTCCTCCTCCATTCTCCTCCTCCTCCTCCTTCCTCCTCCTCCTCCTCCCTCCTCCTCCATTCTCCTCCTCCTCGTCCTCGTCCTCCTCCTCCTGTTCCCCCTCCTCCTCCTCCCCCTCCTCCTCCTCCTCCTCCTCCCCCTCCGCTTCCCAGCGCTCTGACCCCGCCGCTGCGACGAGCCGCCCGCCGGACGCCCCCGCGGGGCGGACGCTCGCCCTGAAGCCTCGACCCTGCCAGCTCGATCCTCGAATCTCGATGCTCCTCTTCGCTCCTCGCTTCCCGCCTCTGCTCCTCCGCCGCCCCCCGCTGCGCGCGAGCGAGGAGGGAGGAGGAGTGAGGAGGGAGACCGAGGACGAGGAGGAGGACGAGGAGGAGGAGGAGGAGGAGGAGGAGGATCACCAGGGCGAGGGCAGGAGGAGAAGCAGGAGGAGCAGGAGGAGGAGAAGGTCGAGGGTGAAGACGAGAAAGAGGAGGAGGAGGAGGAGGAGGAGGAGGAGGAGGAGGAGGAGGAGGAGAAGGTCGAGGATGAGGACGAGAAGGAGGCGGACGAGGAAAAGGACGAGAGGGAGGAGGACGACGACCCCTCCGTCCAGTCGACGCTGTTGCTCGACCCGCGGGCCCCTCTGGGCTCGATCCGCCCCTGGGGGGGGCAGTCTTCCGTCCCCTGGGCTGTGCTGCGGCCTCGCGTCCCGGGCACCGGCTCCCGACGGGAGGAGGAGGAGGAGGAGGAGGAGGAGGAGGAGGAGGAGGAGGAGGAGGAGGAGGAGGAGGAGGAGGAGGGGGAGGAGGAGGAGGACGAGGAGGAGGGGGTCGTGGTCATGGCCGTCGTCGTCTCTCCCTGCAGTGGGGACGACCAGACGCCGGGACCGAGATCGGGGGGGCCTCCCGTGCGGGCAGCGCGGAGGGCGCCTCCGCCCCGGCTGCAGGGAGCAGGAGCAGGAATAGAGCCACAGTAGGAGCTCGACCACGAGACACCTGCCACAAGAAGCCCAGCCCTGAGGCCCCAGGACGTCCATCGATTGTAAGTGTGGGAACGTCATGCTCTCCATCGCAAAACCATCGAAACCCAAGTAACCCAGGGCACCCTGGAGGCAAGCAGAGTGTTTCTCGGCAAAGGATTCCACTGCACACGGCGATGTCAATGAACATGAACTTGCTACCCTTGGACTGGCAGCCGTGCTGACCGTTCGGCAGCACTCCGAGCCTTCGGTGCAATCCCCCGGCTTCAGCACGCGCGAAGGGGCGGGAGGCACGATGGAACCACAGAGCTGTCAAGCTGTGATTGCTCGATCATGTGCTCTGCCTGGCTTTGGTGAAATGTGTGAAAGGCCCCTGGATCCGAGCCTCGACGGCTCGAGGAGGGGGGGGAGAAAGGACTTCTTCTCCTCCTCCCCCGCCTCCAGCCCTCGGGGGCGGCAAAGAGGGGGGTGTCCAAGAGGGGGGGGTGCAAATCATGGCCGGCGGCATGTGCGCGGCCCAGCGGGGCGGCGAGGGACGTAATGAAACAAGAAGAGGCGCCATGAAATCTGGGGAAATATCATGGCCCCCGCCATGATATCCACCCCCCCTAGTCATCACCCCCCTCTTTTCCGCCCTCGAAGCACGCGCGAAGGGGTGGGAGGCACGATGAAGCCAAAGAGCTCTGTGCCTGCGCAATTGTTTACGTGCCCGGGCTGTGAAGTGTTGAAAAGCCGCCAGGTCCGAGCCTCGGCGGCTCGAAGAGGAATGGGAAAAGAACTCGTTTCCTCCTCCTCCTCCTCCTCCTCCTCCTCCTCCACCTCGTCGAGCGCGCGCGAGGGGTGGGATGAGAAGGAGGTAAGAGGAGAAGAAGGATGAGGAGGATGTATGCCTCCCGATGCCTCCCGAGTGGTGCCGGTGCATATGGGGTCGGAAGCTCGCGCCGCATCGCCGATGCATCGACGATGCGGCGCGATCATCCAACCCATCCGCATCTGCCCCGTTTGGGAGGCCTGGGAAGGGGAGGAGAGGAGGATGAGGATGAGGAGGATGAGGAGGAGGACGAGGAAGAAGACGATGACAACGAATCTTCCTGAACCGCGCGCGAAGGGGTGGGGGGGGGAGAAAAGAGGAGGGGGAGGAGGATAGAGGAGAGGAGGAGGAGGAGGAGGAGGACGAGGAGGAGGACGACCATCGACGACGACGACGACTACGACGCCGACTACGACGCCGACGCCGCCGCCGACGCCGCCGACGACGGCGGCGGCGGCGGCGGCGACCCCTCGCGAGCGGGCGGGCGCCTCCGCCCTGGGCGCCGCAGCCCTGGGGAGCCCCCTGGGCGCGCGAAGGGGGCGGCGCGGGGGGCCCGCCCCCGCGAGCCCCCCCCCTTCGCCGTGCGGGGGGGAGGCCGGGCTGGGCCTCCTGCCTCTGCCGCCTCGGCCCCCTCGTCGTCCCTTCTCCTCCTCCTCCTCCTCCTCCTCCTCCTCCTCCCTCCTCCTCCTCCTCCTCCTCCTCCTAGTCCTCCTCCTAATACTCCTCCTAATCCTAATCCTAATTCTCCTCCTCCTCCTCCTCCTCCTCCTCCTCCTTTTCCTCCCCCTGCTCCTCCTGCCCCGGTATGCTCCATTCTCCCCCTCGATTCTCCATTCTCCCGCTCGTCCTCCCCCGCGATCCTCTATCCTCCCCTTCCACCTCCTCGACCCCCTCGATCCTCCCATCCGTCTCCTCCTCCTCCACCTCATCCTCCTCGTCCTCCTCCTCCTCCCACTCTTCCTCCTCCTCCTCCTCCTCCTCCTCCTCCTCCTCCTCCTCCTCTTCACCTCCTCCTCCATTCTCCTCCTCCTTCTCCTCCTTCCTCCTCCTCCTCCTCCTCGTCGTCCTCCTCCTCCTCCGGGAGGAGGAGGGGAGGAGGGGGAGGAGGAGGAGGAGAGGGAGGAGGGGAGGAGGGAGGAGGGAGAGTGGGCGGAGGAGGCGCAGGAGGAGGAGGGGGAGGCGCAGGAGGAGGAGGGGGAGGAGGGAGAAGGGGGGGCGGCGGCGGCGGCGCAGCACGGCGCCTCGATTCGCCGAGTCGGGCGTGCGTGCCGAGCGCGCCGAGTTCCCCCGTCCCCGGGGGGGGAAGGTCCTGCGCCCTGCTTGCCAGTCTGGAACATGTCCCTACCCCTATACTGGGCATCGCCTCATCACGATGCCAGTCTTAGGGATTCCCTTATAGTTTTTCAGGGCGCATTCCTAAGAGTGTCATCGCCTTCTGGCGTGTCAATCTTAGGGATAGGGAGAAGTTCAAGACTGGTGACTCCCTAGGGGAACCTGCGATGAAGGAGGAGGATCGCAACAATATATGGTTGTGCTAACTTGGTGGTGCAGGCTGGTCCTGGAACCGGACCGGCCCCGCGCAGTCCCGGCACCGCGAGGGTGCAAACTTCGACGCCCGCAATGGGTACGGAAAAAATCCTTCGGATGCCCCTCAACAGATGTTGAGAAACACCGACAGCGGCCGCTGTTGGGCAGGCGGCATCCTGTCTTACATAGAAGCCGTCCGCGGCAGCACCGACAGCGAGTCCTCTTCAGAATGAACAGGTTGGGCGTTGCTACAAGTGCCCCTGGCCCAAGGTGCCCCCAGCTTTTCGCTCCATTTTGGAGCCCCTGGGGCCCTCTGGCCCTCGTGAGGGGTGCTTTGGAGGCCGTTTGGGCTACCCTGGAAATCCTGGGGGCACCTTGGTCCAGGGGCACTTCTAGCAACACCCGAGCTGTTAGGCAGGCGGCCTCCTGCCTCAACTATTTTTTGACAAGTTTTGGACATCCCTCCTGTGGATGGGACAGGCCCGACGTAATCACAGCCGAGCACAGCTGGCCGTGCGGGTGCCGCGTGCCCCCTTGTGCCGGACCGTGCCGTGCCGCACCGTGGCCACCACGCCATGGCGGCGGACGTCCCGAGGACGCCACGGCGGCGCGATGCGGGACCGTCGCGGCGAAGCAGTCACCTCCTCCTCCTCCTCCTCCTCCTCCTCCTCCTCCTGCGTCGCGGCGCTGGAGACGCAGGATCTGTACAGTCAACCCGTCTAGCAAGGACGCGCGGCAAGGATGCAAGGGCCCTGGACGCCCCTTGCGAGGCTTTTCGAGCGGGCCGCGGCCCAGGATGGGCCGAGGAGGCGAGGATGCAAGGGCACCCTTGGGAAGGTTGCCCATCCGTACTGTTCGGGTTGACTGTAGTCTGGCAGGGTTCAGGACCGTGAGGGCAGAGCAGTAGGGTTGATTCGCGCGTTGGAAATCAGAGGGGGATGTTTTGGCAGGGCTGAGAAATCTCAGCCTGTTGTCTTCCAGCTGGGCCCTTCCACCAGTCTGAACAACTCTTGCAGGGACCCATGCAGAGAGGACTTGGAGGGAGGGAGGGCTGATCGCAAAATCGTTGATGCGTCTTGGGCTTGCACTTGATCTAAGGTGTACAATGGCCTTTAAGCCAGACTTCCCTGTGGTATGTTAGGCCCCGGCTTGCCAATGAAGGCGGCCGAATTCCTTTAGCTCCATTAATAAGTAATGGTATCTGTTATCAACAAGCTGAGAAGACGTCGACAGCGGGGGCGCGCGCACACGCATGCCCCCTTTTGCATGCGCCGCTCGACAGCAGAAATGCTGACGGGTGTCCCACTTTGGCAGCCCTTCCTCCTCGGCACAGGAACTGTTCTCGACGGCGGCCCGCTCGCAGACCTGGCAGTTTGGTCAGTGATCCCTACTTCCTGCTGCCCATGATGCTGCTGCTCCCCCCCCCGCCAAGATGCTGCTCGCAGATCCTGATGCTGATCCAGCTCCCAGCTGCTCTTTTTGTCCCAGCTTCTCGGCCCGTCGGCTGCTGCTCCGCCGACAAAAGTCGCACGCGCTGGAAGAGCTCAAACGAACGGCGGCCCCGGTGCGCGAGAGCCCGTCGGCTGCCGCTGCTGCTGATCTTGCTTATAGAGGCCTCCTAGGTGGCGTCGGAGTAGATGGGGTCGGGGGGTCGCGCCGCATCGCCGACACATCGGCGATGAACCGGCGATGCACCGGCGATGCACTTGCGATGCCCTGGCGACGTCGGCGATGCATCGGCGACGTCGACGTGAATCAAACTGGGCCCCACGTCGAGCCGCATCGCCGATGCATCGCCGATGCGGCGGCGAGCCTCCGACCCCATCTACTCGGACCCCACCTGGGACGCCTAGAGCTTCGCGAGAGCCCATCGGCTGCTGCTGCTGCTGCTGCTCTTGCTGCCGATCCTGCTGCGCCCTCCTCCAGCCCGGGGCGGCCGGGCCTGCTGCGGCTGCCAGCGCCCCTGGCGGCCGAGCACGCGGCGCTTGCACCAGAGCCGTGGGACCCCCATCCACACACAGGATTGTCCCTTTGGCGTTGTGCAAACTTTGAGCGATCAGGATCGTCCCTCCTCCTCCTCCTTCTCCTCCTCCTCCTCCTCCTCAGCAGCAGCAGCAACAACACTCCTCCTCCTCCTCCTCCTCCTCCTCCTCCTCCTCCTCCTCCTCACCAATCCCGTGCCTCCCTGCGCCTCCATCATCCGCGTCCTCCTTCTCCGCACTCCCCCCTGGCCCCTCCCACGTCTTCCACCGTCTCCTTCGCATGTCCCTCTCGCTCCCCCGTCTTCTCCCCGCTCTCCTCGCCAACCTCTCCCTCCTCCCAGCTCTCCTCGTCAACCTCTCCCTCCTCCTAAAACTCTTCCCCTTCCCCTCCTCGCTCTCCTCGCCAACCTCTCCCTCTCCTCCCAGCTCCGCCGCATTCCCCCCTCCACCTCCGGCCTCCTCCCTCCGGCCCCCCCCCTCGGCGCGCATAGCGAAAGGGGCGGGGCAGCGTCAGCTTGTGATTAACAAGTCCGTGGGGGGAGCGCGTGTGCCAAACAAACCAAGAGGCACGCGCGCCCTGGCTGCGCACGCCGGCGTCGAGGGGGAGAGGCCAGGAGACCAGGGAAGCCAAGGGGGGCCAAGGAGACCGAAGGCCAGGGCCACCGCCCGAAGGGAGGCCAGACGCCAGGGTAACCCGGGAGGCCAGCGAGGGCATGGCACGGTGGCCAGGGAATAAATGCCATGACGACGCAACACGACGTCCCCTCCTCCTCCCCCTCCTCCTCGCTCCGCCCTGTTGCCCCCCCCCTTCGGACGGGACAGACATTCATCGGCGAGAAGTGTCAGCGTCAGCGAGGGCCAGGGGAAGGGGGCAGAATGGGGGCGGGCGCGGCGCCGGTGCGGCTGCGAAATCCCACCAGCCCTCTTGGAGCAGTTTCCTCTCCTCCTTCAAAGCCCTGCTTCCCTTCGGGGCGGGGTACCCTCCCCTTTCTTTTCACGTTTTTGGTTTGGGGACGGGGGCGCCGAGCGGTCAGAGCGCCTAAGATGGCCAAGCCTGGCTCCAAGGGAGCCTCCGATGCTGCGAGATGGCCTCCAAGATGGCTCACTATAGCAGAAGATGGCAGACGAAATGGCCCAATATAGTTTGAAAAGTATCTCTGCCATGGCCTTCAAGATGTTTGAACCTCGTTTCAAACGCTTCGTGTGGCCCCCATGACGGTGGGGGCGTTGCGTCCCCCCCCCCAAAAAAAAAACTGGGCGGAGGAAGGCACGCTGGGGGGAAGGGTGGGCAGAGGAGCAGGGGGTCCCGCCACTGGTGGTGGGGGTGGGTGCTGCTGTGTGTGTGGGGGGGGCGGGGGGCGAGGCGGGGGGGGGCGGGGTCGGTGGGAGTGGTGCGACGCCGAAATGAAGCGATTGGGGAGGAGAGGGGGCACGCGGGGGGAAGGGCGGATCGAGGAGGATGGGGGCTGGGGGGGGGGGGGGGGGCGGTGCGACGCCGGAGTCAAATGGTCGGGGCGGAGGGGGGCGGGGTGGAAAGGGCACTGGGCTGCAGGGGAACGCTGGGGTGAGGAGCGAAAATAGAGCGGTCGGGCGGAAGGGGGTCACGCTGGGGGAGGGGGGGTGCGACGCCGAAATAAAGTGGTCGGGGCGGAAGGTGGGGTGGAGAGGGCACTGGGCTGCTGGGGAAGGGGGGGCGGTGGGGTCGGTGCGACGCCGAAGTGACACAAATTCGGGGCGGAGGGGGGGCGGGGTCGGGGCCGAGGGGGGCGGTGCGCATAGGGCAGTGTGCGGGTGGGGAAGGGGGAGAAGTGTCGTGGGGACGGGACGGTGGGTGCGGTGCGAACGCGAAATACAAATGGTCGGTCCTGCGGGGCGCAGGGTGAAATCAGCACTGGGCGGCTGGGATGGGAGGAGGGTCGGGGGGACGGGGCGGTGGGGGCGGTGCGACGCCGAAGTGAAGTTGTCGGCGCGGAGGGGGGCGGGGTGCATTGGGCGGGTGGTGAAGGGGGAAGGGTCGTGTGGGCGGGACGGCGGGGGCGGTGCGACGCCGAAATAAAATGGTCGGGGCGGAGGGGGGCGGGGTAGAAACGGTTTTGGACGGGGGGGCGGTGCGACGCCGAAGTCAAGTTGTCGGGGCGGAGGGGGTCACGTTGGTGGTGGTGGTGGTGGTGGTGGCTGGTGTGGGTGGGTGTGTGGAGGGGAAGGAGGGGCGGGGCGGTGGGGGCGGTGCGGCGCCGAAGTGCGACAGTCGGGGCGGAATGGGGCGGGCGCAGAGGGCACTGGGCGGGTGGAGAGGGGGGGAAGCCTCGGGGGGGCGAGCGTGGGGGAGGTGCGACGCCGAAGTGAGGTGGTGGGGGCGGAGGGGAGTGGAGCGAAGAGGCACTGGATGGGGTGCGGTGTCACGCTGGTGGTGGTGGTGGTGGTGGTGGTGGTGGTGGTGGTGGTGTGGTGGTGGTGGTGGTGGTGGTGGTGGGTGGTGGTGGTGGTGGTGGGTTTATAAAGTGGTCGGGGCGGAAGGGGGGCGGGGAGAGCAGGGCACTCGACGGGGGGCGGTGTCGGGCTGCTGGTGGTGGTGGCTGGTGTGCAAAGTGGTCGGGGTGGAGCACTGGACGGGGGGCGGTGTCACGCTGGTTGTGGCGGCGGTTGGTGTGGGTGGGTGGTCGGAGGGGCGGGGGGGGGGCGGGGCGGTGGGGGCGGTGCTACGCCGAAATAAAAGGTGGCTGGAGCTCTAAACACCCTGTGCAAGAGAATCATTCCCCTGCTCGGGCGGAATCGCGGGGTGGCGCCCGCCATATTCAGAATCCACGGCGGCGACGCCGGCTCCGGCTGAGTGAGCTCACGTGGCGGACTTTCCCGGCGCCTCCCAGCGTCGGGAGCGCCAGTGTATCGAGGAAAGCGTCTGGCGGCGCAGCACAAACCAGCTCCACGCAGCAGATCTCGCGTCTCCCGCCTCTCCCTCTCCCCCCCTGTCGTCTGGCCGACTTTCCATCCCTCCACCCACCTTACAACACCGCTCCCTCCTCCCCACCTCACCCTTCTCGTCCTCTTCCTCAAGGCCTCGAACAAGTCGGGAGCGGCGTACATGAAGGCGCCCAGAGGCACACAAATAGATAGACACACATAACAAGATCCCCCATATTTGCCTGTATTCTTTGGGTTTTCGAATCCCCTCCCACTTCCCAGATCTTCCTATCTTTCCCTGGGAGTCGACGATTAATTGTGTCTGTGTGTGTGTTTCTGTCCATCCTGAGTCCAAGAGGGAGGCGTCCAAGAAAGCGGTTTGCAGGTCATGGCCCGAGGCATGCGCGCGGACTCAGGGGAGGGGCTAGGAAACGCGTTGAAATGTGAAGAGAAGGGTTATGACATCTGAGCGACGATCGAAAACGGGGCCTACACGAGATGGCACAGCGACCTTACGCAGAGGCCTACGCGGGCCGCCAGCGCTGCACGCGGCAATGGAGACGAGGACGCTTGCGCGCAATCGTACGCGGCCAGCTTCCGCGACACATGGCCCTGGCCATGATATCCAGCCCCCCACATTGTCCGACTCCGAAGACCCTGAACCAAGGCAAACACGCTTTCCATCTCTTGGGGGGGCCCTTTTTTACTCCCGCCACCTTCCGCCGCGCTTCCGCCGGCGGAGGAGGCCTCGTTTCACTTCCGCCGCCTCCCGCCGACCTTCCGCCGCGGAAGAGATGATACCTCCTTCTATCCGCGAAGGCGAGGCCTCCTTTGGAACGCCCCCATTATCATCGCCCCCCTCCTGGACGCCCTCGGCCAAGACCCCCTCGCCGCTGAAGGCCGGCCACGGCCCCGGCAGGCGGCTCCGAACGGGGAGGGGAGGGAGGAGGGAGAGCTGGCCGGGGGGAGGCAGGGGGAGGGAGGAGGGAGGGGGGGAGGAAGGAGGAGGGAGGAGGGGAGGCAGGAGGGAGGGAGGGAGGGGCAGGGGGGGAGGGAGGAGGGGAGGCAGGAGGGGCAGGGGGAGGGAGGAGGGAGGAGGGAGAGCTGGCCAGGGGGAAGAGGGACGGGGGCAGGATCCCTCGGCCCTCGGAGCGGGAGCTCGGACCGGAGTGGACGACGCGCGTCGAATCGGGCCGCACCGGGGCGGCATGGGGATCGAATCGGATCGGCTGCTCCAGGACGCACAACGGCGCCATGCCAGAGGAGGAGGAGGGGGAGGAGGAGGAGGGGGAGGGGGAGGAGGGGGAGGAGGGGAAGCAGGAGGAGGAGGAGGAGGAGGAGCAGGAGGAGGAGGAGGAGGATGAGGAGGAGGAGGAGGAGGGGGAGGAGAAGGAGGAGGAGGAGAAGAAGGAGGTTGCATCGTATCGCGGGAGCATCGGGATCGAATCGGATCGGGCGGACAGGAATCGGTATCGCGCTGGGTCGGTCGGATCGACTTGGGCCCGAGCAGATGGGGGAGCACTGGAGACACATATCCGGCATCTCCCCCCGATCACATCCGTCGCTTGCCCTCGTCCCTCGATCCTTCCTCTCCTCCTCCCCGGGAGAAGGCGGAGGAGGAGGTGGTGGGGGGATGGTGAGCTTCTGGGTCTTCGGAGCACCCCGGCAGGCCCCGCACTGCCCACCTATATAGTGAGGTCGGGCACTGTCCCTCTGCAGGAGGAGCAGTCGAGAATAATACAAAGAATAGGCAGGGGACTATGATCGGCTCTCCTATCACGTTCGAATCGCTTTGAATATTTTGCATTTGTCGTTCAAGATCCGCCTGTAGGGGGACATGCCCAACCGAATCCCACAAGCGCACCCGACGACCCTCCTGTCGGGTCGGACATGAAGGGGGGGATGGTAAAGGGGTGCGGGATAGAGTCAATCCGTATACCAAGGATGCGCGATAAGGATGCAAGGGTCTTGGACGCCCAGTTCGAAGCTTTTCGAGCGGGGCGCGGCCCTGCGGAAGTGGCCAAGGATGGACCGAGGAGGCAAGGATGGAAGGGTACCCGTGGGAAGGTCGTCCATCCTTACTATGCGGGCGGACTGTAAGGGGGAGGATGGCAAAAGAAGGGGGGGATAGCAAACTGGGGCGTAGCGACTCAGCTCAGGTACTTAGCCTGCTTTCCCAGTGCGGGAGGCGGCCGTGCATCGAGGGATGCGTCTGGAGGTGGGACCGAAACTGGGGGGCACGGAGCAGCTGTCGTACTTGACCACGCCTCTTCGTTTCCCCCTTTGTGGGGCAGCGGATCGATCGAGGCACAGCTACGCTCATCACGTACGAACTTGTTGCTCCAGAACCAAGGGCTCCCAACTTCGCGCGTCGCGCTGCGCGAGGCGCGAAGTGCGAACAACTTCGCGCTCTCGCGCAGCCTCCCAGGGGAGAAGAGGAGGATGAGGAGGAATCGGAACCGAACCGCGAAGCGCGAAGCGCGAAGCCCCGCCGCGGGATGCCCTCCGGCAGCTGCGCCGCGCCGGGGAGGAGGAGGAGGAGGAGGATGAGGAGGAGGAGGAGGAGGAGGAGGAGGAGGAGGATTCGGAACCGAACCGCGAAGCGCGGAGCGCGAAGAGCTCCGCGCCCCCGAGGGCGCCCCTGCAGAATGCTCTGCCGGCCCACGCGCCCTGCAGGATGCACGGCTCACGCGCCCCGCCTCGACCCCGCGGATCCGACCCGCGTCGTCGTCGGAACGCGGGGCCCCGGCGCCCGCTCGGGAGCACACAGGGCCCTCCTCCTCCTCCTTCCTCCTTGCTCCTCCTCCTCCTCCTCCTCCTCCTCCTCCTCCTCCTCCTCACTCCTCTCCTCCTCCTCCTCCCTCCTCCTCCTCCTCCTCCTCCCTCCTCCTCCTCCTCCTCCTCCTCCTCCTACTCCTCCTTTTCCTCCTCCTCCTCCTCCTCCTGTTCCTCCTCCTCCTTCCTTCTCCTCCTCCTTCTCCTCCTTTTCCTCCTCCTCCCTTTCCTCTCCTCCTCCTCCTCCTCCTCCTCCTCCTCCTCCTCCTCCTCCCTTCCTCCTCCTCTCCTCCTCCCCGGCGCGGCGCAGCTGCCGGAGGGCATCCCGCGGCGGGGGCCCCGCCGGGAGCCGAGCGGGAGGCGGCCGAGCCCGACGCCGCGGGGCGGAGGGGGCGAGGGGGAACGAGAGGGTTACACCCTGCGAAATGCTTAAGAAATCATGGGTTAAGAAATTCATGGTCTCAGATCTTGAATACAAAACCCAACATTTCTATTAAGAGCTTAGGATTTACATGGAAACGTTGAGAATAATCGAGACTCTGGCCGAAAACTCAAGTTTTCTTAAGCATCGCCTAAGGTGTACGTTGCCCCCATCGTACTCGAGGATCACATCCCAGGAATCATTTCGAGCACCCGGCGAAGTATCGACACAGTGTCGAACGTCGCCCCCCCCCCCCCCCCAGGGCCAGACACGTGGAGACTCTCTAAGTTCGGTATGTTCCTGGTGCTCGCAATTCTTTCTGGTAGTCAAGGCGACAGTAGGTTGGAACATCATAACTTGACAAGCGCGTCCCACTACTCGCAAAGTAACTACTCGCAAATGGTCAGGATCCGCCGCGCGGGATTTACGATGTATTACACAAAGTCTGACTATGGTGTTTCGGACGTTTGCGAGTAGGCACTTTGCGAGTGAACGCGCTCGGCGAATGGCGATAGGGGCAGTCTGGCCCAGGGGGAACGATGAGGGAGCGACTTGTAGTAGAGCACCCTTGGCGCAGCAGCTGCTTCACTCCCGCAGAAGGTGCTGCGCCGCGCGCGCAGCTAGGAGAGATCCAAGGGTGCCCTGGCGAAACGACAAGAAGCTGCTAAAGCCGACCCGTATCATGAGGACGCGCGATAATGATGCCAGGGCTTTTCGAAAGCGGCCAAGGATGGTCCGAAGGGGCAAGGATTCGGGGGCGCGCAAACATGGATCGGGGGCGGTGCTGTCCCCAAAATGCGGCTGGCGGTGCTTCGTTCGGCGGCGGAAACGTGCGACTCCCCATAGGAGCGGGACCCGTCGCTAATCCACGCCCCCATTGATCCATGTCTGCGATCGCCCGACCAAAGGTGCAATGGCGAAAAGACACGGGGCTGCCGTCGACCCCGTGTCACGAGGACGCGCGGCAATGATGCCAGGGCCTTGCGAAAGCGGCCAAGGATGGGCCGAAGGGGCAAGAATGCAAGGGCAACCTTGGGGAAGTTGCTCATCCTCGCGATGCGGGTTGACGACTGTAGTGATGCGCGTGTCCAAAGTACCCCAAGCGTGATGGAACGATAGGGGGGGGGGACTGGCGCATGGGGGGACCAGCTACCATCGACCTGGGACCTGCGGTAAGTCGCCTTCAGATCGGCGATAGGCCCCTGACAGCGAAGCCGCACGTTCCTGGGCGGGATGGGATGCCGGGCCCCCTCGGCGATCGGCGGGTGATTGGGGGTCGATGCGCTCCCCCATGAGCCTGTCCCCCCAGTGGTCTTCGACGTCAGGCTTTGGGGTCAAAACTCAGATCTCAGGCGGTCGTTCGGGGACGATCCGAGCATGCCCGGAACACTCTCAGCGATGCGCAGCTGCTGGAACGCACACCGAGGCTGGAGAAAATCCATACTCGAAGAAAATATCCGAAAACCTCGAACCTCGACTCCGAGAATGTCGTCCTCCCTGGAACATTCACCCCCACGAGCCTATCCTAGGACGATTGGACCAGAATGCACTCCAGGAATTCTGAAGTATCTAGCGGCCCGAATCTCTGCATCCCGTGTGCAACATAAAGAAATCTAGGATCGAGGACATTCTGGAAATCTGGGGCATCTTGGAACGCATCATTGTCCTGACCTAGTGCGCATATGATTCTCCGCTAACGTTGCCCACTGAAGGCATGTTCCACTGAAGGCGAAGCTGTTTGAAGGCAAACATCCTGTGAAGGCAGCAAGTCTCCACAGAAGGCAGTTTTGTTCTCACGGACGGCAGAAACGATCGCCCGCTTCCGAAGCATCAGATCTTTCAACATCGACGCATTCTGAGACTACGGCGGCGGTCAACGTTGAACGCTGGCGGCGGGGTCGCCGCCGGTCGACACGACGTGAATCTATGCATCCTCCGCGAAGGCTGCCAGGAGGAGGAGGAGAAGGAGAAGGAGGAGGAGGAGGCGGAGGAGGAGAGTGAGGAGAATAAGGATAATGAGGATGAGGAGCAGCACCAGTGGAAACCCAAGAGTCATGAACGATGTTGGAATTAGCCCTCCCTGCAAGCTCCCTCTTCAGAGGTCCCTACAACGGTTAATTTCCATTGAGGGAGCTGCCTCGTTGGAAGACAACAGTCTGAAGATCCTGAAGTCTGCCAAAACATTGTTCTCGGGATCAACGCCACGCATCAACCAGACTGCTACGTCTTGACGATCCAGAATCGTGCCAAAACGTCATTCCTGGTACGTTGATCATGGGAGCCCGTGAAACTCTTACACAATTTCTAAGCGAATGTGCAGGGCGCACAAGCGAGAACCACATTTTGAAAACGACCCGCCCTCCATCCGTGACAATATTGCAACATGTTCAAAACGAATGTGCGGGACGGTACGGCGAGAGCCACATTTTGAAAACCACCCGCCCTCCATCCGTGAAACTATTGCACATGGTTTAAACGAATGTGCGCGGAGCGCAGGCGAGAACCAAATTTTGAAAAGGACCCGCCCTCAATCCGTGAAACTCTTGCAAATGTTCAAAACGAATGTGCGCGGCGCTAAAGCGAGAGCCACACTTTGAAAATCACACGCCCTCCATCTGTGAAACTTGCAAGTGTTCAAAACGAATGTGCTCGGCGCTAAGGCGAGAGCCACATGTTGAAAACCACCCGCCCTCCATCTGTGAAACTGTTGTCACTTGTCGGGCTACAGAATCATAAATGTTGAGGAAGTCTCAGGCGAAACGCCCGGCCCGCCCTAAAAACTGGCCTCGGGGTGCGACAGGGCGAAACTATCTATAAGGAGAGGGAATGGGGGAGGAGGAGGAGGAGGAGGAGGAGGAGGAGGAGGAGGAGGCGAGGAGAGGAGGAGAACGAGGAGGAGACGGAGGAGGGGGATGGGAGGAGGTAGGAGGAGGAGGAGGAGGAGGAGGAGGAGCAGGAGGAGCAGGAGGAAGAGGAGAATGAGGAGGAGGAGTGAGGGAAGGCGGCGCCTCCTGGGAGCTGAAGCTCTGCAGGCGGCCGTCTCCTCTGTCGCCCTGGCGGCGGCCCCGCGCTCTCCGCGGGGCGCCCAGGGGGAGGGGGGGCGGCTGCTCGCCTCGGCCAAGGGGAATGGAGGGAGGGGGGGCGAGTCGAAGGCCTCCTCCCCCCTTCCTCCTCCTGCTCCTCCTGCTCCTCTTCCCCCCTCCTCCTCCTCCTCCTCTCCCCCTCCTCTTCTTCCCTCCTGCTCCGCCTCTCCCTCCTCCTCCTCCTCCTCTCCTCTTCTCCCTCCTCCTCCTCCTCCTCCTCCTCCTCCTTCTCCTCCTCCCCCTCCTTGTCCTCCTCCTCTTCCTCCTCCTCCTCCCGGCGCATCACAGCGCCAGAGGCGGCCACTCGCCGAGGCATGTGCCGTGCGGCGGAGCTGGGGCGCGCCGCAAGCATCGTGCCCCACCTCTCTGGGGCTCCCCATTTTCGGGGACCTGTTGCTATACCTTCGCCCCCCCCCCCCCCCCCCCCCCCCCTCCCCTCCACCCCTATCGCTGGTCAGTGCAATCGAACGCGGACCTGTATCAGGTTTCACATGTTTGAGGAGCGTGCCGACGTGCACAACTCGTCGTGCCTGTGCGCCCGCCGGGGTGCACGCCGTGAGCCTGACTGACTGTTGACACGCCAAGAAACCTGGCGCGCCCGAGGAAACTCCAAAGCCGAAGAACCCCCTGTGTTGTTGGTGGTGCCCATTTCCAGCCCTCGAATTCTTGGGTTTCGATGGCTTTGCGCTGGAAAGCGTGACGTTCCCACCAAGGATCGATGGGCGTCCTGGGGTCTGAGGGACGGGTTTCTTGTGGAAGGTTTCTTGTTCTCGGGCCCCTGGTGGGAACAGGAACTTTTGGCGTTCCGCGCGGACTTCTCGGACCCGCGCCCGGGTCCCTCCCCTGGTGGCGCCTCCGGCGCCGCCTCTGGCGAGGGGGGGGGGTCTGCCTCCTCCTCCTCCTCCTCCTCCTCCTCCTCCTCCTTCCCCTCCTCCTCCCCCTCCTCCTCCCTCTCCTCCTCCTCCTCCTCCTCCTCCTCCTCCTCCTCCTCCTCCTCCTCCTCCTCCTCCTCCTCCTCCCTCCTCCTTCCTCCTCCTCCTCCCCCTGCTCCTCTTCCCCTCCTCCTCCTCCTCCTCCTCCCTCCTCCTGCTCCTCCTCCTCCTCCTCCTCTTCCCACTCCCCCTCCCCCTCCTCCTCCCCCATAAGTTCCTGTTTCCACCAGGGGCCTGACAACAAGAAACCTTCCACAAGAAGCCCAACCCTCAGACCCCAGGACGCCCATCGATCTTTGGTGTGGGAACGTCACGCTTTCCAGCACAGAACCAGCGAAACGGGAGTATTCGAGGCCTGGAACTGGGTACCAACACCAACACAGGGGGTTGCCTCCTCAGGAGGGAGGATGATCCCAGTTGTCGGTGTTGGTGGTCATATCTCGGTCACATTGGAAGCCATAACATTACCACCATCACCGAGATCGGGATCTCCGGCCCTCGGTGGAGGCACACCGCCGATACTGGTGTTGGTGTCAACCTGCAGGCCTGTGAAACCCATGGCACCCTGGAGGCAAGCAGGGTGCTGCTTGGCAGGGGCCTCCACCTGCACGCCGTGTATTCTTCTTCTATTTCTTATCATTATCATTTTTCTTCGTCTTATTCTAACTGTTGCTATTATTATTATTATTATTCTTATTAATATTAGTGTTGCTATTATTCTTATTATTATTTGTGCTATTATTATCATTATTATTATTATTATTCTCCGGCTGCAGCCGTGGGCCGAGACCTTCTCCACACATCGTCCTCCCCGGATGGGGATCCTCGGGGCCGTGGATTCCCGCAGTGTCCCCGTCCGGACGATTCGCGGACTGGCGGGCGGAGAAGGGGTACAACCAAAGGGGGGAACAAACACACACACACACACACAAACGGAAACTTTTGGCGCTCCGCGCGGATTTCTTGGATTCGCGCTGGACCCCCCTCCCTGGCGCGCGGAGCGCGCCAGGGGGGCGGCTCCAGAGGCGCCGCCAGGGGGGCCCAGGCGCGGATCCGAGACATCCGCGCGGAGCGCCGAACATCCATGTCTATGGCGTTTTTGTTCTGCATCGAAGCTTCCTCTTCGAACAACGGAAGCTTGTTTTCTCTTCGGAACAACGGGAACACTGGTTTCTGTTTCTGTTTATTTCGTCTTCGAGCAGCGGAAACTTGTTCCGCGTCGTGCACACCTACCCCAGGGCGGTTGGGGAGTGGTGCGCCTGCGGCGGCACAGCATAATGGGCCTGTTTTCCACCACCACCAGAAGTTGAAGGGGCAGGGGGTCGTCGTCCTCCTCCTCCTCCAACATGTTCCACCGCCACTACAATATGTAGGAGAGGGAGGAGGAGAAGGAGGAGGAGGAGGAGGAGGAAGGACGAGGACACCCTCCCCCTCCCACTTATGGTGGTGGTTGTGGTGGTGAAAAAAGCCCCCTCACAGCAAGGAGTAATCTGTCCAGTCGTGCCGGGGCTGGCGTCCCCGATGGCGGAACGGATTATGCTGTACTGCTCCTCGTGCGCTGACCCAGGGGCCTTTCCTGATGGGCGTGTGCTCCACCACCACCACCACCATCAGTAAAGTTGGAGGGGGGGGGGTCCCCCTCCTCATTCTCACCCTCCTCCTCCTGCTCCTCCTCCTCCTGCTCCTCCTCCTCCTCCTTCTCCTCCTCCTCGCCCTCCTCCTCCTCCTCCTTCACCCCTCCAACTTATGGTGGTGGTGGAAAAAAGGCTCATCATTTCCCTGCTACGGGAACGGCGCTCACAATCATCATGGCCGATGTCGACGGGGACGTTCAGGCGGTCCTCGGGCCGGCCCCGCCGACTGACATCAACGTCGACATAGGGTACACCGACGACACTGCTCTGTCCTCGGGCCGGCCCCGCCGACTGACATCAACGTCGACATAGGGTACACCGACGACACTGCTCTGATATCAGACAACATTTCGCGGCTGCAGTTCGTCCTGGAGAGATTGTTGTATCGAGCCAGCATGTATGGGCTGGAACCGAATTGGTCAACAACGATTCATTTACGAGTCCGCCGCAAGGTGAATGTGTTCACGCCGCAAGGCGCGCTGATCAAGCCGGCGAACAGCGCCATCTATCTCGGCAGTCTTCTGAAGGAAAATGGGTCTGCAGGGGCCGCCATCTCGCGCAGGCTTGGCGAAGCATCGGCGGCCTTCGACACTTTGCTCAGTGTCTGGAAGCATGCGAACATCACGCGTGCCAGGAAGACGGAGATTTACGATGCCTGCGTGGTGTCGAAGTTGCTGTATAGCCTGGAGACGCTTTGTTTGCGACAGGCGGACAACATCAAGATCGATGCCTTCCAAGCTCGTTGTCTGCGAAGGATCTACAACGTACCACATTCAATGATCGCGCACATATCGAATAAAGCAGTCAGGCGGCAAGCTCGCCAACATAGATCGATCGACTCAGCGTTGCAACGTTGATGCGGCAATTCGTGGTTTGTGGGCGGATTGTTTCCCTGCCGGACTAATCGCCACTGCTTGCTGCTGCTCTGGCGCCTGGGTCACTAGAACCAGCGCGACCCGCTGGCGCTCGAGCGCGAGGACGACCCCGCCTGCGATGGACAACGGTGCTCTCCGAGCAGGCTGCGCCTGCGATGGCCTCTTGCCCTCGCCCCCTCCCGCCCCTCCCGCCCCCCTCCCCTCCCGTCCCCCTCCCTCCCTCCTCATGAGGCGCTGTACGCATTATTCCGGAGCCCTCGTTTTGCAGCGCGCGGACAAGCAGTTTGGGCAACGATTGTTAAACCATACGGTCTTCCCGTTGGCCCCAGAGCTGCTCAGGTGCAATCTCCCATTGCCGCTTTTCCTAGGCGGCGTGCCCATTTCTCCCCCTGCTGAGCCGATGCGTCGCGCGACATGGCTGGCGAACGCACGAACGGGAACGGCGCTCGTGCACCGTAGCGTGCTTGGACCCCCTTTGAGGGTCGAGGATCGACGACGCCTCGGGAGACGCCAGCGCTGAAAGGACCACACGAATTGCGCAAACGTAGACGTTCGGCGCTCCACGCGGATTGTTTGGATCGGCGATGCCCTCTCCCTGGCGCGCGGAGCGCGCCCGTGTCGGCGCCAGAGGCGCCTTCAGGGGGCCCCAGCGCCGATCTGAGAAAACCCTGCGCGGAGTTCCAACGTGCATGATTATACAATTGTTCTTCGAAGCGCGGTGCGGTGTACACACATCGGGTGCTGCTAGAAGTGCCATTGGCCCAAGTTGCCCCCAGGATTTCCAGGGAGGCCCCGACAACCTCCAGAGCACCCCTCACGAGGCTCAGGGGGCCCCGGGGGCTCAGAGAGCCCCAGGGGCTCCGTGCCACTTCGATGCCCCTTCCTCCTCTCGACCAATGGATACCCGCCAGTCGGAAGAAGTAGGTGGGAGCGTGAAGTGGGGAGGCGGGTCAAGTAGGTTGGGTTCGGGCCCGCCCAAAGAATAATAGAAGGCAACAATAACATGTCGACACTTGAAGTAGGACGGCGCTTCAAAACTATTGGGGCCTGGATATCCGAAAACACTGACTTTCAACGACTGGCGTGTGTTGAAAACCCTTCAGGCTGCGAACGTGCAAGGCGAAAAAACGGACGGCATCACGCCCGTGACGGAGCGCATCACGACCGTGCAGCAGAAGGATCGAAGCGCCCCACGACTGCGGAGGCGAATGGAGGGGGGCGCGACGCGCGGAAGTCAGTGCTGAGAAGGGCGGGGCTTGTGGACCCGCGCCAGGTCACTCCAGCGAGAAGCAATCACTGCGCGTACTCCAGATTTCGTAATAAAGGGAGGGGGGTCTTATTTCGGGGGGGGGTCTCTTCCGGGCTATCTTGGAGGGCCTGGGGGGCCTGGGGACGATGTTTTGGAGGGTTCTCCCACGGGGGAGGTCTGAAATGGCTGGTCTTGGAGGGTCCAGACCCCCTCCCTTTTATTACGAAATCTGGAGTACCCATGGGGAGTCGATCACATTCTCCCCATCGGTGCTGACGCCAGTCCTCCCCCCCGAGAGAGGCACCGATACACAAGGGGTGCCCTCCTCCTCCTCCTCCTCCTCCTCCTCCACCTCCTCCTTTTATTACGAAATCTGGAGTACTCGGCAAGGTCTCTCGGCCACGCGTTGGGCCAGGTGGGGAAGCTCCGACCGAAGACGCGGGCACATGGCCAGCCTGGGCGAGACGCGGCTGCAGACTGCCCCCCCCCCCCACGCCTTGTTCCGCCCCCCCCCCCTCCCTCGTGATCCTTCCTCCCCTCCCTCCTCCTTCTCCTCCTCCTCCTTCTCCTCTCCCCCTCCTCCTCCTCCTCCTCCTCCTCCTCCTCATGTTACTCCTCAAATCTTTATACTATACATTTATCCTCATATACTGCATATATGTATATCGATACATAAAAATGTGTGTGCATGCCTGTTCTATATTTCCCTCCTTCCTTCTCTGTCTCGCTCTCGCTCGCTCTCCCTCTCTCCCTCTCGCCCTATCTACTCATCTCTTTCTCTTTCTCGTTCTCTGTCTCTCTCTCTCTCTCTTTCGCTCTCTCTCTCTCTCTCTATCTCTCTCTCTCTCTCCCCGTCGTTCTGCTGATAGGAGGGCCGCGCGGGCATCGACGTACGGTTCGAGGCCTTGAGATCACGATCTGGACCGCCTCCTGCCTCATCCCTCCCTCTCCCCCTGATCCGCCCCCCACCGGTGGTTCAAAGATGGGGTCCTGAGGGATGGGGTCGTGAATGTGAGGTGCCTCAAACAAGACACATACACACACATATATATACACACACACAAAACTGCAGTGGCGCTTCGCGCCACGCACCTTGATCCTTGGAGTGTGGCATGGAGGCGGAATAGCAGGAAGGTCAAGCCGATAATTTAGCGATAACTCCTTGTTGCCTCTTCCGGCACCGTCGCTATAGTAATGTTATTCGCTATCCTTCATCCATGTTTTTTTTCCTCATGTTCGACACACCCTTCGCATTCTCCCCATCCTCCTCAGCTCTTTCTTGCGGAGCTCCTCCTTGGAGAGCCTCTGGGGGCCTCACAAAAGTTGTTTCAGGCTTTCTTAAGGCCTTCTGGAGGCCTACTGGGCATATTCTGGGGGCCTCTGGGGGCTTCCTCGGGTCACCCTGCCTCTAACCGCGGTCTCCCTGAACGACCGGGTCACGATTTGGAATGCTTCGGAGATCGTCGTGGGGCCATCTTGGGCCGCCATGGGGCTCTCTGAGGGCCATGTTGGACCCGTGCTGTGCCGGTTTGGGGCTCTCTTGGACTGCCTGGAAGCCCTTTCGGATGGTTGTGGGGCGATTTTGGAGTCTCCCAGGCGGCTTCGGACGCCCAGAAGACCGCCGTCTTGGAGCGTCGGGAAGCCGAAAAGAGTAGAACCCCAAAATTCACCAAAAACCAAAAAGAAACTCAATGATTTGTGCCTCTTGGGGCCTTTTTGGGAGTGCTCTTGGAAGCCTCTTTGGGGCCGTCCTGGAGGCCTGGCCATCTTGAGGTCACGTCGGTCACTCTCGGAGCGCTCTTGTGCTGTCTTGGGTGTCTCCGGGACGTCTCCGATGACCCCCTCTGATACGCCCTGCGAGGCCCGGGGGGCCGCTTCGAGGCCCGTCTGGAGGGTCCCAGAGCCCCAGATCCCGGGAGTCCGGTTTGGGGGGGGGGGACGGGTTTTCCCCCCGCCGGGGCGTGTAAAAATATAGGAAGAGGAATACATATATATATATATATACACATATATATATATATATGTATGTATATCCACCCTTGGATCTCTTCTTATCATTGAGACCCCATCTCTCAGGACCCCATCTATGAATCACCGCCCCCCGCTCCTTCCGCCCCCCCACTCCGCTCCCCACCCTGCGCCCCCCCACTCCGCCCCCCACCCTCCGCCCCTCCTTCCCCCCATCCTCCGCCCCCCTCAGCCCCCCCACGCCTTCCCCCCATCCTCCGCCCCCCCCCGACCCTCCTCCCTCGTCCTCGTCCTGCTCGAGCTGGCCCTGCGGGCGAGGGGCCTGGAAGTTGCCGCGGCCCGTCCCTTGCTTCGGAGGGTCGTCCCAGTTGCCCTGGCGGGAAACAGGGAGGGGGGGGAGAGGGGGGAGGGGAGATCGCGAGGAATCGAGGAGGCGAGGGATGACAAGGAGGGCAAGGACGAGGCTCGACCGATGGATCGAGCCATCGGGCCCTCTCCTGCTCGGACGCTCGCATAGGCAACGGAATACGTGCGCACGATGCCCAACCACAAGTCTTTTCCCGAAGCCGACAGCGGCTGCTGCCAGGCGGCCGTTCTGCCCAACATGGGCACCTTCCGCGGCGGCGAGGACAGCCAGTCCAATCCAGCATGGACAGGAGCTGCTGTTGGGCGTCGTGCACATGATTTCTGTACCCACTCCGTTCGTGCTCATCCTGTCCCACCCGCCAGTGCTAGGTCGGGCATGTCCTCCTACAGGCAGGCTATGGGAGAACAAAGGACAAACATGCAACATAGTCAAACAATGCTCAAACATACACACAAGAACGAAACACAGTCCGCATATCATGTTTACTATTATTGCATATTCCTCCTGTAGTGGGACACGCACGACTAAACACCAAGGCACCTCATGCTGTTCAGCCTCCCACTCGCCGACTTTCGGCGGTGGGGACCTTTCTGCCCCCCCCTTTCGCGGCCGCCCTCCTCTTGCCCGCCCCCCCGCTCTTCGGCGGCGTCCCCCGGGGGAAATGAGAAGGGGCGGGCCTTCTCTAGGCAAGAGCGCTCCACTATTCGCATAGTAACTACTCGTAAGTGGCCTGGATCCGCCGCGGGGGCTCTACGATCCGCTGCATCGAGGCAGACCTGTGCTTTTCGGACTTTTGCGAGCAGGCACTTTGCGAGTCGTGGAACGCGCCCGGTGATCCTGAAAGGCTCGAAGCTCCGCGGGCCTTCTGAGAAGGCTCCTAACCCATCCCCGAAGATGCAGGGAGACTTCCCAGAAGGCGCGAGGGGCTTCCGAGAAGCCCCGCCGCCCTCTGAGAAGGGCGTCCCCTGCTCGCTCCCCCCCTCCGCTGGCCGCCGAGCTCTGGCGCCCGAGCCCAGAACGCCCTGCCGCGAGCAGGCAGTCCCCGCGCCCACGTCCGCTGGCGCCGGTGACTAACACGTCTGCCCGCCAGTGGGTTCAGGAGGCCGGCTCCCCCGGCCGAGCGTCCGGGCGGATAGGCCGGCCTGCGAGGGGGGGCGCGCCGCACGGGACGGGAAGGGAGGATGAAGACGAGGAGGGAGGGAGGAGGCGGAGGAGGGAGGGAGGGAGGAGGGGGAGGGAGGAGGTGGGAGGAGGAGGAGGAGTCTCAGGAGGAGGAGGGGGCGGAGGGAGGGAGGAGCGGGAGGAGAGGAGGAGGGAGGAGGGAGGAGGGGGGAGGAGGGAGGAGGGGGGAGGAGGGAGCAGGAGGGAGGAGAGAGGATGGGAGGAGGGAGGGAGGAGAGGAGGGGGCCCGTCGGGCTTAGCCTGAGGGTCTGGCGCCCTCTGCTTCCGCGGCTCGTGTGCGCGCGCCCTGTCGCGCGCCGGCCGCAGGCCCCTCGATTGAGTGCACGGTCAGGAGCACTGCCCCCCCCCCCCCGACACTCCCCACCTGAGCAGGGACCGACCGCCCTGGCAGTCCCATATGCCTACCGCGAGATATGTTCTAAGAGACACATGGTGCTCGAGAAACAAACAACGACATTATTGGAACGAGAACCCGATTCTCTCTCTCTCTATATATATATATATATGTGTGTGTGATTTGTGTATAGCTACATGTGTACATAAATCCACATAGATATACGGATGTGAAGTAGGCCAAAATGGCCTCGGCCAGCCAGAGAGGTCCGTAGAACATTCCATAGTGGGCCTACAGGCAAGCCAGGACGCCACGCCACTGCTTGACTCACGTCATCACTGGGGGAGCGGGGGAAGGTTGGGGGCGTCCATTGGTGGCGCGCACGAAGGGCATAGGAGGAGGGGCAAGGCTTCTCAGATGGAGGCTGCTTCCTAGCAGGCGCCGGCCCTGCATCTGCAGACCTAAGCAAACTCCTTCTCCTACCCCCTGTGCGCTTGGCCAGGGGCGGGGCGGAAGGTCGGGGGGTTCCAGGAAGGGGGGTCGCAAATAATGGATGGCTTGTCGGCTCTTACGAATCGATGCTGAATCGACGCTAAATCGACGCTAGATCGACGCCACATCGAAGCTAATCGACGCTAGTCGACGCTAAATCGGCGCGATCTCATCGAAGCCCAGACGCCAATCGACCCTGATCGACGCTACACTCTGAATTAACAGGGAGTATACCAGGCTCCCATTATTTGCTACCGTCTGAAATCTGCGGGGGTATCATGGCCCTGGTCATGATATCCGCCCCCCCAGTCACCACCCCCTGCTGGTCGCCCCCCTAGGAGAGAAGAGAGGGGGTGGTTCTCGAACTGTATCGCGGCCGAGCTGGAGAGCAGGTCGAGCTGGCGCCAGCTGAACTGGTTTCGTCTGAGCAGCCGAAACGGCAGGCACCAGCCAATCGGGGGCTGCTAAGGTGTTCCTGGCCCGAGGTGCCCCCAGCTCTTCGCTCCGTTTTGGAACCCCTCGGGCCCCCTGGGCCTCGTGAGGGGTGCTCTTGAAGGGGCCCTGGGACACACAAGTAAATACACGCAAATAAAACGATTCATCATATTTTGTCCATTAGTTTCTGGGTTTTTGTCTTCCCCCCCGCTTCCCATATTTTCCCATATCTTCTGGGGAATCGAAGATTCATTGTGTCTGCGTGTTTTTTTTTCCCTCCTGAGCTCTGGAGGCTGCGGGGCTCTCCTTGGAAATCCCATGGGGGCACCTTGGGCCAGGGGCACTTCTGGCAACACCCCAACCAGGCCCGCTAACTGAAACGGCTCGACACGCCGAGTCGAGCCAGAACCCAGGCGCGGCACGGCACGACGCGACCCGACACGCGGCCATTTGTAGCTGGCGAGACGGCAATGTCTGTTCTCGCGCACGAGGGGTTGCAGACGGTCAGGTACGCATGCCTTACTCGACCACTCGCGATGGCAAATACCTGCTTGTAGCGATACCGCATGCAACGCCACATCCACTGCTGATGATGCGAGTCATCAGTTGTGTTGTGTCGGGCACGCTTGTCGGCGGCGCGCCCGGCGGGAAGTGAGAAGGAGAAGGCCCTCTCAGAGGGCTTCCGGGCTTCTCAGAAGACCTCCAGCCTTCTGGGAAGTCTCCTGCGTCTTCGGGGGAGGCTAAGACACTTCTCAGAAAGCCGGCGGACTTCCGAGCCTTCTGACCTCCCCACGGGACTCGCAGCTGGCTGTATTTAGTTGTGTCTGGGGAACCAAAGATACAGATACAGCTACTCCCCGGCTGTATTTACTTGTGTCTGGGGTGCGCTCGACCCGAATCTCGAAGCGAATCCAGCGGTGGCGGCGAGGGCCTCCAGGAAGGCCAAAACAAGAAGAAACGAGAGAAAGGTAGCGGTAAGGGCTTTGTGGGCCCTGGAAACGGCAAGGCCGTTTTTCCATCGTTTCCAAAAAAATACCCCTTGAAAATGGAAACGGCATTTTTTTTATTTTTTTTTTTTTTTTTTAAAAAAAAAAAAAAAAAAAAAAAAAAAAAAAAAAAAAAAAAAAAAAAAAAAAAAAAAAAAAAAAAAAAAAAAAAAAAAAAAAAAAAAAAAAAAAAAATAAAAAAAAAAATAAAAAAAAAAAAAAAAAAAAAAAAAAAAAAAAAAAAAAAAAAAAAAAAAAAAAAAAAAAAAAAAAAAAAAAAAAAAAAAAAAAAAAAAAAAAAAAAAAAAAAAAAAAAAAAAAAAAAAAAAAAAAAAAAAAAAAAAAAAAAAAAAAAAAAACGGATACCGGAACGGCAACAAAAACGGCTCCAGGATTGGAAATAAAAAAACGGCGTCTAAAAAAAAAAAGAGAGTGCTTTTTGGCCCCCAGACCTATGCATTTATTTGCAAAGGCATAGAAAACGAAAAAGCAGGAGGAGAGACAACCAAAAAAGCCCAGGGGCGTTTTTGGCCCCCAGACCTATGCATTTATTTGCAAAGGCATAGAAAACGAAAAAGCAGGAGGAGAGACAAAAAAAAGGGACGACGGACAGGGAGAAAAGAGAGAAGTGGGAACGCCAAGAGAAGAGGGAGGAGGAGGAGGAGGAGGAGGAGGAGGAGGAGGAGGAGGAAGAGGAGGAGGAGGAGGAAGAGGAGGAGGAGGACAGCAAGCAGGGAGCAGCAGCAGAGCTCAAGCGCTACCAGAGGGCCCTCCTCCCTCCCCCTCTCCCTCCCCCTCCCCCCCTCTCTCCTCCTTCCCCCCCCCCTCTCTCCCTTCCTCTCCCCCCCTCCCTCCCCCTCCCCCCTCTCCCCCTCCACGGCGGCGACGACGGCGGCGAAGACGACGACTACGACGACGACAAGCCCTGGGCCCTCGGGGGATGGCGCCGCGGTCGTCCAGCACCCCTAGGTGGGGGTGGGGACGGCAGCCCCCGAGGGTCGCAGGGTTATTTTTTAGCGCGCCACTGGCGTTTTGGGCGCCCTGCTCTCTGATTCCGATCGTCGAAGGCCTTTCGCGTCTTCGGCCGCCGCTGGGAGAGGGAGATTGCCGGTGCGACAAGAGATTCCAGAGAATGCACCAAGTGCATTTTTCAGTCGGCGCTGGGGGCGAGACCGGTGCACCAAGCGTGCTCTGAAGATAATTGCGCTTCAATATATTTTTATACATATTGCATTATATGTATCATTATCATAATCATCATTTGCGCTCTTGGCCGCCCTGCTCTCTGATTCCGATTGTCGAAGGCCTTTTGCGTCTTCGGCCGCCGCTGGGAGAGGGAGATTGCCGGTGCGACGAGAGATCTCAGAGAATGCGCCAAGTGCATTCTGAAGGTAACTGCGCTTCAATTCATCTATCATAATAGAGTATGATATGTATTATTACCATAATCTTCAGTTATTGTATCATTATCCATTTTCGTTATATGTTATCATTATTACCATTTGCCTCCTCCTCTCCTTCTCCTCGCCTCAGAGGCTCAAGCTTAGGCAGCAGACGAGTTACGCTGACTGCTTGTT